ATATGTTGGTATTTTACCGTTGACTGGGGACTTTAAAGAATTCTTAATCAACCCTTTTAATAATGCTAAATGCTGTTTAAATGTAGAAGATTTATTTCTTTGACGAATATTACTAAATTAAAATGTTTACACTTTTCACGATAATCATTACTAAAATTTTTGATCCTGAAATATAGTTTATCAAGATCTAAACTTTAAAACAAATCCGGTAAAAATTGTCCTTCATACTGTATAAAATAAAAAAACCAACTGCCCATTTATTAACCAGAATTAGTTGCATAGGTTTTATAAACATTCCGAATTAATTTAATGGGACACTTCAGTAATTAAGTTCCATTTTGGACTGCCTTTTCTAGTATCAAGTCTGTTTTAGTTTTGTTTTTTCAAAGGTTATTTTATACTCGTAAACTCCATTAAATAAGTTAAATTTTCAACTTAAGTTAAACTGATTTGCAATGAGTATTAAAAGTTAATTTATTTATTATTAAGAACTACTTTAAAGTTGCTTACTTTCTTTACTTTTATTTCAATTCTGAACAAAATATAAAAATGATGTTGTGGATTATTAAAACATAGAATAAAAACAAATAAGAAACAATTAAAGAAAAAACAAAAAAAGTTTTGATTAATACCTCAATAAGTAAACAATATTTTTTTTACAACTGTTTTTAATATGCGTTTGAGAAACGTCACATGCGTTTGAGAAACGTCACATTCGTTTTGTTTATCTTATTCGGTGCGCATATTAATCATCAAAGTTATCGAGTTTGCCACATTTTTTCAGGTTTGACGTTTGACCTATTATGTTATATTATAGATTATATTATATAATAGTAGGAATATTTATTGACTTGTCTAGAGCATACAATACTTTTTATCAAGATTTTTTGTCTAATAAACTATATAACCTTGGTTATATAAATATAAACTAATGGCAAATGTTATAATATTATATATTATATTATGTGCCCCATAGACAATTTTATATTAGGGTTCAAATTCAAAATTGTGAAATTGTTAATTTAGCAACTTGTGTTTTGAAAATAGATTAATGATTATTGTCGAAAAACTGTGTTAATACAATTCTACTATGGTAATCTTAAGAAAGAAATTTAAATTATTAATACTTTTTTTAATTTCTTGAATTCGTCCAAATTTTTAGGAATAATAATAAATAAATCTTTTACATGGGATAAACACATCGATTTTATAGCTTTGAACATAAAAAACTAATCTATCAATTATATAGCCTAAGAGACAAATTAAATATTTCAGCTCTTCTTAATGTGTATTTTAAAATATTTATACCATTTTAAGTTTTAATATTTTCTGCTGTGGTCTTGCTATTACTATAGAATTTTTATCTTGCAAAAATATGCCATTAAATATTATTTTAAAAATTATGGAATTTTCACTTTTGTAAGTGTCTATATATACAAATTTCTTTGTCTATACATAATAACAAAATATAACTAATGAATGAAAATAAGTGTCAATACACAGATGCATTGGCATGCAAAATAAGAAAAGTATCCTTACTTCGTGAGAATTCGTTTAGTTTCGTTTATACATTTATTTTATATTTTTGATTTGTCATATTTATCATTTTCTATTGTAATTCTGTGATTAATAAATCATTATTATTATAATGTATGTATATAAATTTATTGTAAATTTTTTTGATGATTTCGAGCTAAATGCGATTTCCATCTAATTTCAATGAATTTTTATTATTCTACAGCGGTGTATAATAATTTGACTTTTGAACTGCGACTCTATTCGTATTTCAACACTGTGCTAATTTTGTTGTTTTGTTATGTATTTTTAATTAAAATAAAAATAAAATCCTGATATTAATATTTAAAGATTGCTTTAAAATATAAAAAGCGAAAAAATTAAAATATTGAAAATTTATGAGCGACCTTTAAAAATTCAAATTTTGAGCTGTGTACAAAAATTAACTGAATGGAGCAGAAAAGCTAAATTAAAAAAAATCAAATTTAACTATTTTTGGAATTTTTAAAAGCAGGATAAACTTACATATTTTTATAAAAGACTTGAAAAAAAATCGTTTTTGGGAGACCCTACGGTACATAAATAACTTCTTATATTGAAATAATAATTAGAGACCGGACCGGTAATTACAAATTAAAAGATTTCTAAAACGTTACCCAAAAAAGGCCAAATAGGCAAAATAGGAAGCTAAAACGGTAAAATAGCTACAAAAAGGCAATATTAAAAAATAAACGCGTTTATTCTAGTATAATGTGTACCTACATAAAAATTAGTTAAAAAATACAAAACATAATAATTATAATTATAATTATTATGTTTTTGTTGGTTTATAAAAGTAGCATACAATAATTTTTTTGACATTTTCTTTTGTTAAACTATTTCGTATACTGATAAAATATTTTTGTAAGAGAAAAAAAAACGTCGGTGCCAATGCTGCGATCATAGAATGCGACTACATCTGCGCTTACAAAAAACACACACACAGTTTTAAATCTAGGTGGCTCAAAGCAAAGCTTTGTAAAGGTCTGATGTTTAAATCGGTGTGTTTGTTTATTTTGGTGAGCGAAGCGCTTCGGTGTGTCTGCACAATAGAGTGTGTTGCAAATTAGCTTACTATTTTGTTGCGTGCATTTTCAAAAGTCAATTTTTAAAATACAAACAAATCTAAAAAGCTAAAATGACTAAACAGACTTTCTTATTTTTAGGATTTTTAGGATTTTTAGGATTTTTAGTCAAAAATGCAAAATTGAAGTTGCACAAAAAATTTCCACTGCAGAGGCATACAAAAATCCCGTCAGGCATTTTGCTTTAAATCCAGTCTCTAATAATATTAAAAAAAACAAAATCAATTTAAGAAAAAAATTAATATGTTAAGATCTACAGAGTGTTCAGAAAATGGCGTACTTTTTTAAATAAAATACATTTTTTTAGAAAACCTTTAGTGATTTACATATACATATACATATACATATATCTGCATACACATGATGGTATTTAATAAAACTAAATGAGTTTGACCTACACTTTTATTGTGTTTTGATCTTTCATAATTAAGTAGATATTCCAGCTCAGGTTCCAGATTTTTAACCTCAATTAATTATTTTTACAATGTTTTAAAAGTCTAAAACCTATCCTCCGTGACTGTTACTCTTCCTATATGTTTTCAAATATCTGAGGTAGTAAAAGCATACTAAAAATATCAGTTCACTAATAAAATTAAACACCAAAGCAATCGGATCAAATATAAAATATTATTAAAAATTAAAAGAAATAATTTTTATAACCATTTACGTGTTATTAAAATTGATTCTATCCTCTGTGAATCTGTTTTTGATTTAAATTTTATGCAACTGATGGCGCTTTAATGATTTTAAATAAGCAAAAACCTCTGTTGACGACATTATAGATGCATGTGATTCCTGAAGGTCAGTTAGAATTTATATGCAGGTGTTGCTGTTTTATAATTCAAAAGTTTAAGTTCGTTAATTTGCTATTTAAAAACCTATCCACCGTGAAGTGTAATATCTCAGTAAGTAGATTTTTTTTATAAATATTTTATATAGATTTTTTTTATAAATATTTTATATATATACATTTTTATTTTTAAAAAATAATAAGGTGTCAAAAGATACAATAAATTATTTAAAATATACAAAGGAATGCGTAAAGCTCTAGTATTCAAATGATTTCTTAAAAATCTTGCATTAGTGCAGAACTACTTATGTTATGTCAATAATCATTTTACTTGGGGGACAACCAACAACAATATATTCACCCATATACATATATATGGGTATATTTATATATGGGTATTAAGTGTATGCATATGGATATGGATATAAATATTAATTAAGATAGTTTAAAAGTTGGAGTTAAAATAAAAATAAAATGTATAAAAACCTAATACTTTTATTTGGCTCTGAGCCTGTTGAATAATAATAATTATTAAATAATAGTATATTATTATTTTATTTTATTTTTTTATTTACATTACATGCAATAATTGTGTTGCATTAGAAGTAGAAGTTTAAAATCATTTCTGAAGAAGCTACTGCGAAACAATTGTCAAATTAAATTAAAATAAATTTGTGAAATTCAAAAAACAGTGTTTTAATATATATATATTATATATTAGTAAAATGGAGTTTCATCAAGTAAAGGTTGAAACAATAAAATATAAATTTTGACATCTGTCAAATGGTTAACCTCACTTTTTACCAAATTTAAATATTATTATAGTCGCCTTCTCTAAATTTAAAACCCGATTGGTTCAAATTATTCCCGTTGTTATGCAGAAAATTTATAATGATTATTGTTTTTTCTACTTCTATTGCATATTATTATTTGGGTTTTTTCGTAAATAATGGTAACCAATATAACCGTCCGGCCTAACAACGGGAATATTGAACTCATTATTCACGTTGTTATGCATCAGTGATTGGCTGATTTTAATATTGGGAAAAGGTAAGGTTAACAGATGTCAGATTTGTTTATATTACGAGGGGCGTCTATAATGATCTTTAAAATCGGGAAAAAGTTAGGTTATAATAAATTTTGTTATCAAAGAAAATTACTCGAAGTAATGCGCATTATTTACTCGGATGATTTACGTCTCTCGATGCAAACCTCATCCTTGTGAATTATCTGCATCATCTCTCGTATAATAATGTACTATTATACGCAAAAACAAATATTATGCAATAGAAGTAGATAAAATAATTTGTAGCTGTGTTAATATGCTTAACTATGGTTCCAATTTTAAATAATTTTATTGTAAATAAAACAAATATAAAAAATATTTTGTTTATACAAACTTTAATTTAAATTAAAAACAAAACCAGAAAAAAATCGCATTAAAACCGAAAGAGTATTCATTAAAAAAACTCGAGCCTCTGTAAACAAACTTCAACGAGATCATCTCGTACAAAATACAACCAAAAAAATAAATAAAAACGCAAAGTGTGTACATTCGCAAGTCTACTTACATCAACATCCATTCCGGGTAGCAGGAAAACCTGCGTGTTGGGATGCTCCTTGGGGATGTATCTGAAAAACTCCTTTGTCCCTTTATACCATTTGACGGTGTACAGAGGCTCTCCTTCCAGATCGTATTTGCACTGAAGCGTCACAGTGTCCATAATTTTCGCTGCTTGAGGTATTGTCACGGCCACGTCCTTTAAGGCTCCAACACCTGAAAAGAAATGGAGTATCTTAGTAAATCTGTTTTATGGTAGAATGCAAAGAGAATACTTTAGATTTGTAGACCCAAGAACATCCGGCAACACTCTGTTTTTAATTTTTTTAAATAAAATTCTAGTTTATTAGATGTGACATCACTATATTTAACAAATTTAACAACAAACTAAAAGTAGTTTTTAAGATCCATTTTATATTTTTCATAATAATAAAAAAATGTTTATACTTATTTAATATTATATTATTATACGAGAGATAATGCAGGCTAATCATCTAACTGAATAATGCGCTGGAGTGTAAAACTATAGTTTACCTAATAATTTTGTCTACGTTTTCAAAAAATATGATAAAAAAATAAATTAATTGGGTTGTTAGATAATAAACACAAAGATATCGCCACCAGTGTTTATTCCTTCATCCGGTAATAAAATTAATTCATTCTGTAACTCTTTAAGAAATATATGCAATTCCACATTAAAAAGTTATATTAGAACGGCCATATACCGTAAAAGAAGTAGAAAAAATAGCATTATCAATGTTATAACACCAGAGTAGCAAAAATCGCATTTTTTAATGCAATGATATATCATTGCTCGCTTTTATCATAATGAGTAATGAAATTTATTTACATTACTCATTTTTTTTCGTTTAATGGAGAATTACTTGTACATTTCTCATTTTCAATGTTTAATGAGTAATGTAAGAATTTACATTACATTTTTTATTTTAATGAGTAATGTGGATTTATTTCATTACTCATTTTTTTTAATGGGGAAAAATGAGTATTTCATTGCTCATTTTTAACAGGTGCGGCCATTATTTTTTTTGTAGATAACATTTGTTTTTTATTTTTCGCACGATTTGCTGCATTGGATATCATAATAATATACGAAATATTTGTGACGAAAATAGGTTGGCGTTTTAATGCCAAAAGGGCGTACTACAGCAGTTAGATAGGGTTTTGTGCCAAAAGGACGGATAAAAAAATGTTTCAGAGCCATTCAACTTAAAATCGTACAAAACGTCAAGATCTGTAAAAATTTGAATGGCTAACGCCAAAAGGGCGTATCTTGAGACATACGCCCTTTTGGATTTAAGAAAAATTTTTGAATTTTTGTCATAATTTGAATTTTTTTGAAAATTTGAATTTTTTTCAATTTTACTTTTTTTTTGAAAATTGAAATATTTTTTAGAAATTTTAATTATTTTGGAAAATTTTATTTTTTTTTGAATTTCGAATGATTGTCAATCAATCCATTTTTACATCGACAAAAAAGTTTTTACCAAAATTTAATTTTTTATGCTGACGAAAAAAAAATTTAATGGGTCATTACCAATTACACATTTTTTTTAATGAGTAATGTAAGATGTTCCATTTCTTATTGCAAACTTTTTAATGAGTAACTGCTACACTACTCATAAAAATTGTTTAATGAGAATTGCAATTGTCTTTTTCTACTCATATTACGGAATTTGACCGTTCTTATATCACTTTTCTCTATAAAATGACATATATTCCGTAAAGTGTTACAGAATGAAATATTCTATCATCGGATGACATAATAAACACACGTGGCGACATCTCTGTTTTTAATATCTAACAAACTTTAGACCGATCCAACCTCTTTTTCTTCCAATTTAATTATTTTTGTATGGTATTTTTTGGAATCGTAGAAAATGAAATTTATTTTATACTGCACTTTATCTAGCAGCCAGAATTTACAGTAATTTGAATCTTTAATAACTATAATTTACTGATTCAAAAAACAATGACAATTTGAAATGACTGTTTGGGATAGAAAATAAAGGTATTATTTCATTATCACCTATTCATAGTCAATTTACTTGACATGTTTTAAACAAAGTTAGTTTCGGGTGTAAAAATTTTGCGGCCAAGTAAAACGTAGAAAATAATTTCAGACTTTTCGGACCGCAGAGTGATTCTCCGCGCGTATGCCCAACTTTGTACCAGACAGCTGTCTTATTCCAGCAGGTCGGGGTTTTGCTCCTATTACATTATGTTCAACAGGCTTAACAAATAAGAAACTTCTGCCATTCTGCCGGCCACACATTTTTAATTGCACCCTCGTTAAATTGTTTCCAACTTTCGTCCGAATAGGTCTTCTCTGGTTTTGGAGGATTCGGAAATATTTTGGAACAAAATAAAGACTGATACAAAGTAAATAAAATACCATTATGTATACTATTGTATAAATTTTACGATGGTTTTAAGGCATTTTAAAAATTTCTGACATTCACTCGTTTTTGTTGCAAAAATGGCGAATGCGCCGGGATAAATGAATTAATATAGAATTTGTTAATAACACACATACTTCCACCATACTACCTTGATAAATAAATAAACTGGAAGTATATGAAATAAGAGGAATAGCATTGGATCTTTTTAAAAGTTATTTGAAAAACAGAACTCAAATTGTGGCACTTTTAGTGATGTTAAAAAAGTTACATCTGGAGTTCCGCAGTGTACAATATCAGGTCCGATGTTGTTTCTTTTATACATTAACAATATTTTTTCAATAAAGGGTGGGCATATCGTGTCATACGCTAATGACACAGTGGTTTTTTTTGTTTTTTTTTAGAAGGGATTATCTGGACAGATATTTATAAACAAGCTTCAAATGTAATGATGGATTTGAAAAATTGGTTAGATAGAAATTTTTTACTATTAAATTTATCAAAAACAAAATTTATATACTTTACTATTAATATTCTCAAACAACCTAATATAAATTCTTTTAAGATACATAATTATAAATGTTCCCGTAATAACCAATTACAATGTGTGTTTACGTTACAAAGGTTAATACCATCAAATACCTGGGTTTATATATAGATGAAAATCTAAAATGGAGTCATTACACAAATAAAGTTTCCAAATAATTAAGAAAAATTACTTACATATTTCATATATGCTAAAGCATATTGTAGATATAGACACTATCAAATTAATATATTACGCTTTGGTTCAGTCAGTTTTGTATTATGGATTAGCTTGTGGATCAGCATATCAAAATCACATTATTACAATTGAAAGTTTGACAAAAATATATTGAAAATTATGTACAAAAAAGAGAGGTTTGCATCTGACCAATTATTCAAAGACTGTAAAGTATTTAACTTTTTTATATAAATATCTCTCATAAAACTTTCCAAAAATGATATTAATTTGGATAAAGCAACAACAATAACTGCAACCCAAACGACATTTAACCTATTTTACTGAAAGAGAACTCTATTTGCGTTAAAAAACATTAACTTCTTAATCGTTTGGCTGTACTATCTCACATAACTAAGAATCCTGAAATCTTACACTGTTCTATCTCCACTAACCAATGAAATTGCTGCTGCTACAACACTTGGTTCAGTATTTGCTAATGGCTACTTGTTGCTATTTGTGTATATACCAATGTCCATAATTTGAGCCAGTTCTAATGTAGACTTCATCATATATGGTTTATAAATGAATAATTTAAAAAAACAAACAACATAATTTCAAAAAAAAACAAACGGAAAACAAGGTAAATGTTGGATAACAAATTTATTGATCTCATCTTAGGTTTAAAGTCATAAATGGAGTTTGAATGTTAAAATGGATATAGAGCATTGTAATACTAACTTGTTATAGCGTTTACAGAGCACAAAGTGAGTTTAAAGGTGATCCTGTGGAAATCATGCCATTAAGTTCTGAATGTAGCCTTTGAGAATTTAAAAATGAAAGTCCATTTATCCACACTAGCTCTAAAGTTAGGAGAAACTGAAGCTATTCCTAGCAATAATAGTCCCATTTCGAGCTGCACACCTTCCTTAATAATAATAATTTTTGGATGCAGATTTTTCACAACATAGGTTTTCAGTCCTCTAGGTATTTTACGCATTTTACACCAAGTGAATATATATATATAACGACTGTACATCCCGAGGGATAGAAGTCACTCCGTTAGGAGTTTAATGATTCTTTCGGTGAATCAGTCCTTTGTTTATTTATGTTTCTTCTTGTTAAAGTTTGTTGTGTTTTTTTGCGTCTTCAGTAATTTTTGCCCATTGTTTTCTGTTTTGTACTATGTTTTTCCAGTTCTTTATTCCTAGATTATTTATGTCCTTTAATACTTGTTCTTCCCATCTTATTTTGGGTCTTCCTTTTGGTCGGTTTTCGCCGGGTTTCCAGTTTTTTATTCTTTTAATAATTTCTTCCGGTTTTCTTCTCTCTACATGTCCAAACCATCGGAGTCTTTGTGCTTTTATGAATTTAACTATGTCCTCTCCTTCCATTATGTTTTCTATTTCGTGGTTCATTAGTTTTCTATATCCTTCGTCTGTTTTAAGTGGTCCCAGTGCCTTTCTAATTATTTTTCTTTCAAAACATTTCATTTTTATTTCGTCTTTGTTTGTAAAGCATGTTGTTTCTGCTGCGTAAGTTACGATTGGTCTAATTAGGGTTTTATAAATTCTTATTTTTGTTTTTTTGCTTAAGTTTTTATCCGTAATAAACTTTTTGTATTTCCAATATGCTCTGTTTCCTGATTGTATTCTTTCTGCTATTTCTAGGCTTCTATTATTTTTTCTATTTATTTGTACTCCCAAATATTTGAAAGTTTCTACTGCTTCAAATTTACAATCCCCTATTTGAATATGACTTTGGGTTATATCTCTTCTGGCGCTATGCATGTATTTTGTTTTTCCTTGATTTATTTGTAGTCCTATTTCTTTTGCCTTAATAATAATTTTTTGTATAATTTCTTCTAAGCTTCTTTTGTCTCTGGCCACTACTGCTATATCGTCTGCATATGCTATATATTGGGTTGAGTTTTGTGTTATAACTTTCTTGTTTCCTATTTCTCTCATGATACCTTCTAGCGCTATGTTGAAGAGTGTTGTAGATAGTGCGTCCCCCTGCCGTACACCTACCTCGATTTCAAATTCTTTTGATGTTCCAGTTTTTGTTTTTACTTTTGCTTTTGATTCGTCCATGCTCATTTTAGATAGTCTTATAAGTTTTATTGGTATTTTCATTTTTTTCATCTCTTCTATTAATTTTGTCCGTATAATTTTGTCGAATGCTTGTTTAAAGTCTATAAATATGATGTGGAGTTCTATGTTGTGTTCGTAGCTTTTTTCTAGTATCTGAGTCATTACGTGAATTGCATCTGTTGTCGATCTTCCTTTTCTAAACCCATTCTGATATTCCCCTATTTCTTGTTCTGTGTATTTTGCCAGTCTTAATCTTATTATGTTTGTTAATATCTTATATGCAGTGTTCAGTAACATGATTCCTCTGTAGTTTTTGCAGTCTGTTTGATTTCCTTTTTTGTGTATTGGAGTTAATAGACCTGTTCTCCATTCTAATGGCATAGTTTCTTGGATCCATATCTCTGTTATTAAGTTGTGTAGTCGTTTAAGAAGTGTCTCCCCTGCTTGCTCTATTAGTTCATTATTGATTTCGTCTGGTCCACATGTTTTATTTTTGTTAAGTTGTGTTACTACTTTCTTGAATTCTTCGTACGTCGGTGGTATTTCTTCGTTGTTGTTTACTATTTCTTCTTCAGTTTCTGCTCTTTGTTCGCCTTCATTTTTGCTATATAGTTTTCTAAAGTGTATCTCCCAGTCTTTATCATCTATTTTTGCGGTTGGTTTCTTTATTTTGTATAGATTTTTTATAGTATTGTAGAATTTTTTGCTGTCTTTATTATTTTCTATTTCAGTCATTATTTCGTTGATCCATTTTTCCTTTTTGCTCCTGCAGCATGCATTTGCTGTTTTTCTTTTGTTTCTATATTCTTCCAGTTCTTCGGGTCTTTCCGTGTTTATCCATTTTTTTCTGGCAGTGTTTTTTGCTTCTATTTTTCTTTCGCATTCTTCGTCAAACCATGTCTTCATTTTAATCCTTTTCTTTTTTCCTATTGTCGTCTCTGCTGCTTGTAAAATGCTACTTTTTATATTTCTCCAATCTTCTTCTATATCTGCTGTGTTGTTTGCTTGAAGCTTTTCTTGTATATTCTCTTTATATTTTCTATTTACCTGTTCGTCTTTTAGTTTGTCTATTTCCCATTTTCTGCTATTTATTTTAGAAGTATCTTTTATTATTTTCAGTTTAATTTTCGCTATTACTAATGTGTGGTCTGTGTCCGCGTTTGCGCCTCTGTATGATCTTACATCATGAATTATTCGTTTCCATTTTCTAGAAATTAATATGTGGTCTATTTGGTTGCCTTCTGTGGATCCTGGTATCATCCAAGTAATTTTGTGTGGTTTTTTGTGCTTAAAGCTTGTGCTTACAATAAATGAGTTTGTCATTTCGGCTAGGTTGCAAAGTTTTAATCCATTGTCGTTAGTGTTAGTGTGTATAGTTTCCTTGCCTGCCACATTGGTGATATGATTTTCTTTTCCAATCTTTGCATTAAAATCTCCAACCAGAAAAACTATGTCATTTCTTTTTATGCTTTCGTATGTATTTTTTAGGTTTTCGTAGAACTCGTTCTTTTTAATTTCTTCTGCATCTTCTGTGGGTGCGTAGGCGTTTATAATACTGATGTTTGCTTGTTTATTTTCAATTCTTATATATGAAAGTCTTCCATTTATAGCTTTAAACTCTAGTACCTTATTTTTAAGGGTTTTTCCTATTATAAAGCCCGTGCCATTATGGCCTTGTTTTTTTTCTCCGGAATAATATAGCGTATAATTTTCTTTTTCGATTTTACCCTCCTCTTTCCACCTTGTTTCTTGTAGCGCTAGTATTTCTATATGGTATTTGTTCATCTCGCGGTATATTTCCTCCATTTTTCCTGTCCTTAGCATTGTTTTTATGTTCCATGTTGCAATTAGTAATTTATTTCTTTTTTTAATCTTTTTTTTATTTTTACCTTTATTTTCTTTATTATCTATGCTCATTGTCCTTTTTCTTTGCTCGGTCCGTTTCTGATCTGCTTTGTTGTTGGGTGCTATTAGTTTTTTGACTCTCTATTGTATACAGGTGGGCTGCTGTCTTCCTCTATTTCCTGTTTTTCTTCTTCCAAAGTTTGCTTTGTGCGGCACCATTTTAAGGTTCTATTTTCTATTTGCAGTTTTTGGAATCCAACTTTAACTCTTTTGCCTTTACTTTTTTCTTCTCTTGCTAGGTCTCTTATATCTTTTTGTATTTTTCTTTCCTTAGTTGTCAATTCGGCTTCTATGTATACTTCTTTACCTTTAAGTTTGCTTTTATTTTTTAAGACTTTAATTTTATCTTCCCAGTTTTCCATTATAATTATCCATTTTCCTTTTGTTATTTCATATGAGTCTCTTACTTTAGCATTTACCCCCATTTCCTGTTTAAGTAGGTTTTCTATAGTTGTTTGGTTTCCTTCTGTTTTCTTAAGGACCAAGTCTTTTCCTGATAAGAATAAATTGTTTTTAATTCTGATTTTTTCCATTTTTTCTAGTTTTTCTTCCATTTCTAGCATTTTGCTGTCCATTTCTATTTTTTCTATTTTCCATTTCCCTTCCATTTCTTCCATATCACCGTTTATCTTTATTTCTATTTTTTCTAGATTCTCTTTTAATTTCCTTATTTCTTCATTATTTGCTTGGATTATTTCAGATTTTGCATTGGCTATCTCCTTTTTGACGTCCAATTTAAAATCTTCAAATCCCTTTATTTGCTCTGCTATCATTTTTTTAATTTCTTCCATTTCTGCTGTTTTTGGTGATCTGGCTTTTAGTTTGCTTTTTCGTGTTGAGTTTTCTTCTCTTTCAGGGGAAGTTTCGATCTCTGCTCTGCCTCTTTTGTAGTGTTTTTCTGTATGTGGCATTTATTTGTACGCCCTGTATACCCAGATAAGCTAAGTCTGCGTGCGACACACAGTATATATCCCTGGCCTACTTAATTCAACCAGAAATCTGTTTGCCGCCTAACAGTACTTTTGCCTCTCTTTGATAGATGGCGTCACTTCTTGATTTGGTAAAAATCTCTGATACCAAGTGAATAGCATCGTGAATTTTATGAATACCAAACTGTTTAAAAAAACTACAACTTTAAAAATATTCGATACTCACCAATTTAATAAATAAGAAGTAAGCCTATGTTCATTTACTCAAACGAAAAGTATGACGACAACTTCAAATGTGTAAGTATACTATCAATACCTCGAACAAATAAAACTCTTCTTCAATATCTTAACCATTAACCAATAACTGCAGTAAAACCTATAACCATGCCTAAATTTTATCTTTATCTAAAGATATCTAAAGATAAAGTCCAGGATTTAAAAAAAAGTTTAAATTCATGGCTGCCACAGATAAAGCATACATTGAGACTCTTTTCAAGAAAATAAAGTAGCTTATGTCAATCTTAATCTTAAGATTACTTAATTTGTTTCTTTTACACCCAATTCCACGGAAAGATGCAATGGAAAATTGCAGAACCATATCTATTAAAAAACAGGAAAATTTCAGAAATTTTGTGTTCTATCTCCAATATTGAAAAATTAGTAATTTTCAACTTAAAAACCCGTTCAATTTTAGGTAAATAAGTGCTTAATTTTTGAGATGTGGATACACCCTGTGGTGCAAAGTTTTAAAAAATGGACATATAACATTATAATTCCCAGCTGACGATATGTTAAATTTCTCGAAATCAAAAAGTTCATATGTAATATTAAGTTTGTGTAGTTTAAAGGTTAAGGTATTATTTGGTATAAATTACAAGCAAACCAAAATCCCCTCATAATTTTAATCAGAAAACAAATTAATTCCACACATCCGGCTTATTCGATCGAATGGTTAATTCTCAAACTTAAACTTGTTAGATCTTTACTACCTTTTCCCCGTAAGCATAGTAGTACAGGAGTAACAGTAAAAGCCGAGAAGAAGCCTTCTTGTTTTGGAGTTAAATGGTTGAGCGGCATCAGCGAAAGGCAGGAAGTTGGACGATTGGCGCTCACAAACGAAAGCCGTTTCCTTAGTTTGTGTCACGCATGACCGAGCTAACACGTTTAGAGCCGTTCAAGCGGCAGCTATTACGCAAATGAGGTTGATAATTTTCCACACGCACTGTTACCCGAAGACGCTCAAGGCGCACGCAGGGAAAAATCTAGAAAAAACCTTAAGATATTATTTAGTTCATTTCATCTCAAATCAATTACGAAATAAGGGGTACTCGGGTAGAAATTCTTTTATAGTTACTCTGTCAAGATCGACAAGTCATATTTTTTGCTCGAATTTGTAAATGCTTCAAAGGTTATAATTGTTTTAATTTTTTTTTTAAACTTTGACATATGTCAATGCCAATGTTGCTTTTTCCTTTTCCCGGTCCCCTTTTTACAGTTACTAGGAACAACTCAACGAGACGAGAGGGCGATTTTCTCTCGAAAAAAGGCTCGAGACGAGACGAGAGATTGCCCTCTCTTGGTCGAGAATTTCTCGTTTCTCTCGATCTCTCTTGTTCACTCGATTATTTCAAATTATTGCGATTTTCTCAAAATATTAAATCGATTCTAAGATTCCCGACCTCCAAATTTCATATCTTGCCAATTCGGAGATCGTCAAAACGTTTTTCTGGCTAAATTAAATGGACCAATGAGAACATTATTCGCATTTCATAATAAACAAAATAACCATTTCTTAAAAAAATAAAATGGCTGATCCAATATGACGAACATTTGTCGTTCGGCTTTAATGGTTTGGGTAAAATTTAGTATTTAAATATTTATGGGGTCTCTGATTAAGAATTTGATATCCATTAAAAAACAAAATTGCGGATTCAAAATGACGGACATCAAACGCTCGACATTTTATTTCCAGTTTAAATTTCTATAGAAAAAATATAAACGAATTAGTATTTCATTCTTAATAATTTTTGTATTCATACATATCTACTTTTACCAGGAGAGAAACGAGACGAGACGGGAGAAAGGCACTCTCGAGCGAGAAAAGAGTATTCTCGACGAGACGAGAGACCCATTTTCTCTCGCTGCACGAGAAAAGACGAGAGAAGGACTTTTCTCGCGTTGGCTGACTTGCCTTTCAGCTGCAACTAGGCTAAAAGCACTGTGAGGATCTTTTCTCACGTAACCAAATGTCAATTTTAGTGTATTTACTTATACTCGGACGGACAGGTTTTGAAATATCTTGGGCATGTCCAGTCTCTCTAAATTTCCGTTTAATTTTACTAACCGTAGCACGAGTAGTAGGTCGAGCTGGATACTTTGCATTAAATAAATTACAAACTTCTTGTTGTGTTCTACTTTTATCGCCACATCCTATGAGATTTAAAACTTTAATTTTCTGTGTTTTTGTTAAATAGCCAATATTTAAATAGGTACTTCGAAATATTTGGAGAATATTTGTTTTAAATTATATGCTAAGAAAGAAATATAAAATAAAATATATCATATATTGACACTTGCTATTTGTAAAATAACAAAAAACAATAATAAACTGAAAAAGGATGACCTTGAAATGAAATATTTTGAGAAAGTTTATGAACACTTTTTAATTTAATCGAAACCCAATTAAAAAGTATTTTGATAAAAACTATAAAACATCAAAAAATTATTAAAAACTATCAGCCCAAAAGGTAAAAATGTGCATATTGCTGAAATTATAATTTCATAATCTGTTTGAAAAAAAAATTTTGCAAGAAAGAAAAAAAATGCAGGAACCCAAAAAGTAATATTTTTAACTGCTAAATCTAAATAAACTTAAAAAATGCAGTGGCGTTACCATAATAATGTTTATTAACTTTAACAACCTTTATTTTGAAAACAATGGTTTACAAGTTTATATAGACCTTTTTTCCTATTTTTGCGAGTTCTATTGACTTTTAATTATCACGATTAAAATCTGGGATCAGATACTAGAACCGGATGTTATGTTTGTATGTTGGTACCTACGGCAAAGAAGCAGCAACTAAAAACTATGAGACATCCAAGAAACTCAAATAGAACAAAAAATTTTAACCAATTTTTTTAATGTTCAAGAAAAATAAAAAAACGTGTCTCCACTGAGAAAATAAAAAAATTAATTATATTTTTAAAATTTTATCAATATAAGGACATTTTGTAGTATTTTTCTAAAGTTTATAAACTATAGTTTTTTTCGTCTAGAAAAATTAAACATAAACCTTCAGTTCAAAGATGTTTGTTTCTTTCTAATTTTTAATAATTGTGTTTATAAAATGTAAAAATGTGAATCTGAATGTGACATTTGACAGTTTGCCCTGTTGTTTCATAGATGGCGCTCTATACAAATTTTTGATTTAAATCATTTTAAGATAATAATAAGTATTTGTCGTAGAAAAAGTATAGTATGCACCTCGTTTATAAACTTTTCTATACACTCATTAATTTAAGAACTCGCTCGCAAGCTCGCTCGTGCCTAAATTAAATGTGTGTATAAAATGGTGTTTATCAAACTTGATACATAATATACTATTCATGTTCGTTTTACTTGGCTATAACGAAAATCAATAGAAGAAAATTGACTAAGAAAATATTTATTTTTTGTCTTACATAACACTGTGCGACAAATTTTGACCTTACAATTTGAACTGGGATGAAATGTGGAAAAATCGAATCTATGCAACCCCCAAAACTAATCTTTAAAGGGGTTTTGCTTGTTTAGCTCGAATAATGGAGATATACAGGGTGTTTCTTTTAACTTGAGACAGCTCAATATCTCGAGAAATACGCATTTCACGGAAAAATGTTTTAAATAAAAGGTTAATGTGACCAAAGGGGACATTATTTGGTGCTACCGCTAGCCACCCCCTACCCCTCCTT